GGTCAGTAAAACGCACGTTTGATGATCCAAGCCCGGATAATCAACGCTCTTATGCTCTACTCTATACATGAATCGTTGTAAACTTTACCTCGAAAATTGAAAAACAAAATCAAGAAGCGATGGAAACTAATTCACCTTGAAAAACATTCTCCTATACATATCCACAGCATTTCTCTAAGATCGTGCGCGTAATTCTCGTTCGTCCGTTTTGAGACCTTCTCTGAATGACCTGCAGTTGCTGCAAGCACTTCACAATCATCTAGTCTCAGTAATATTAAAAGTCGACCCAATCGTTGGTCACGGGAGAGATTTGCTGGGGGTGTTTTGTGGGCCTGATCACAGGGGCTGAGCTACCAAAGCTTTCGCATGCGGAGAAATGCGAGGGTGATAAATCCTCCGCGACGCGTTAAGAACCCACGGAAAACGAAGCTGGGCAATGATCAGAATCATTGCTCACATTTATTTTTTATTATTTCCGAGGAAAGCCCTAGGAATTGTTCCGGGTTTCCCAAATGACGTGGTGGTCAGATAATGACAGGAATGCTTGAAGCAATGGTCGGTTTCCAAGCCCATAACTAGAAGAAATACGTTCGAGATGCGAAAGGGCGAATGAGTTGAATTTTTTTGACGATCACTATAGGGTTAGCGTTTGGCAGAACAAAAATGATCGATTTTTTGCTGATGCAATCTCTGGAGGAACGCCGAAAGAAATTTAGTGCATTGATTGTGCAACGTTTGGCACATCAATTCGTTGGTCCCCTTGAAAATCCAAGGTTTCAGTCGTTCACTTCCAGAATAACCTGGATATGATCAGTTTGGGATGCATAATTGCGTAAAAGTCCCTCTCATGTCGCAATTTTTCTCACTGGAGAAGCAGACCTCGCCAATTCTCTTTTCTATTTTTTTTACATACAAATAAATCGAATAAAACTTCAAGCTATGTAGGCGCAGAAAAATCCATTAAAATGTCTTCAAAATACAAATTAGCCTTCTATAAGGCCTCAGTCCTTTTTCGTTTTTCTGAAGTTGTTTTTTTCGGAGTCCGTATTTCATAAAAAAAACCTTCATGCCTTATTTGCATTCGGTACAGTCTCTTGTTTTTGGAAAGCCAAAACAAGAGAGCATAAAAAAGCACGTGTATTATCGATATTTTCGAAAATGTCGTCATTCAATAAGTATATTTTTGATTGAGTCGGGAAATGATACATGATTCAGATCTACTTTTCTCAGGTCGAATATAACACAATTTTTCCTCGTCAAATTTCCGTTTATGAGAAAAGATGGATATTGTGGCCAAAAATTCTGCGAAGCTCTGAAGTACTGCATGCGGTTCTTTGGTGAGGTTCTACTAGATTCGAATTCGTAGATGTCGGAAATTCTTTCATTTCAAAATCCATTTGAAAAACATAGTATGGAATGCACGAAGTCCATTTTCGCCAAAACCATCGTTTTTTTTCGCAGCTGACAATAATAAATTTGAATGCGGTGCTATTCTTGAGGAACTACACGCTGTGATTGCGGTACAGTATTTAAAAAAAATTTCAGGAATCCTCAAGGTAAGAGCAAAATTTTGAAAAGAATCCTGAAATTATCGTTGAACAATCTTGTTTAGATTTATCCGGAGCAATATTTAATGCTACCTTTACTTTCCACGGCAGAAAACTGTGGCAGAAATTCAAGAAGTTCCTAATCTCGCGGGGGGAATGTCGGAATGCTCGTGTAAATTTTGCACTATAATTACCCAGTAAAATATGGCGGTTGCTTCCTAAAACTCGAGGTGCACGAATGTATAGATCCATTTAGAAATGTAACCCGTATTCATGTATATTACGTGAAATGTTTCAGTTCTTCTTGTGCTGACTGTCATGTTACCTGACGATGCCCGAGTTCGTGGTATGGCATAAAACCTTTGTGTAGCTCATTCTTCGTTGGAAATCGTGAATCACGGTTTCACAATGCCCTCCTTCATCGCAGAAGTAGATTTATCGACTTTTCAATGAATTATGACATTATTAGAAAACAATTACTTATATAGTGCATTTATCAGCGGAAAGAACCACGCAATAATAAACACGTCGCGGGATATTATTTTTTTTCACCTGCTAGTAAGATGCTCAAGACACTTTTTATATCGAGAATTCTAAGAAGAAACGATCTTCGTGTAAAGGTCTCCATTTATGAGAGCAAAATTGTTTTCCTCATTTAATGCAGGTGGCGAGTATCAAATTAAAGTTCGAACAGTATTTTTTGGACTTTTTCGGAGCAAAGTTGCAAGAGATAAAATGTTGCAATGAACGAAATTTAGTCTTGCGGAAATCTAATCCCCAATTTATTTGCTATTCAATGGCCTCCGTTTTTCGCAGCATTTCGAACATATAAAGAGGCAACTCAGAATGTTTCACACGCATGTGTCAAATTTCGAACCTGAGCATGAAAAAAAAAGTCTCAGGAGTATAATGCGTTTCCAGCTATATACCAAAAAAATTGATTAACGCTTCAAGTTCCGAAATAATTCAACTTTCGCAGCTGCTGCCTGTTGTGTCGAACTTCGTGAGATATTACACTAAAAAAAACAAAATTCTCTCCCGTTTTTTTCTCTCTCTCTCTGTCTCTCATCTATAGCACTTCTTTCCCAGGTCAGGACAGACCGGAAGCAGCCATCTTGCCGGAGATCTCCTCACCTTCCGTCGCCCCACCCACTTAACTCATCAACAATAAGTGAAAAAAGCCGAGCAGATGGGCTACAAACGAGGCAAAACGCGACGCCGAGAAGGAAGGAACAAACACTCGTCACCCCCTCCCCCCCCCCACCCTCGCCTTGTTAATGAGCCGTTACTCGCAATTACCCGGGCTGCCGGACAAAGACCCTTGCGCGACAATTAGGCGTCTCGGCTGGTTGACAAAACGATCTCGGGTCGACGTTGAAAGCGTTTCCGTGTCGCGACAGGGTGGTGGAGGTGGATGTGGTGGTGGTGGTGGTGGGCGATTTGACGCCGAGCTTGTCACAGAAAAAAAAATAGAAAGAGAGAGGGAGAGAAAGATCCTAATTACCGGTAATTTAGTCCGGTGTCGTCGAATCGTCCCGTGTTCTGGCGATCGATACCTCGGCTGCAGCATCGCCACACGGGTCTTATCTATCTGACACGTCTCTCGTCTTACATTTGTCATGTATCATGAAAGAACCCCGTGGCAACTTTTTTTTTTCTTTCTTCAATCCGTCTCGTGTCTTTTTGGACAGCAGTCGAGACAGATATTGAAGCTGCGTGTGCTGGGGAGAAATCTTGGCAGATGATCGCGTGTCAATCGTCAATCCCATTCATTAGCCATTAAAGGATTAATTGCTCAACTGGCCCCCCCCCCCCCCCACCGGGAAAATGTGTGTACACAACACTGATACACAGGGGAGATCAATAACCCGTGACACTTAACCCTTTTCTTCATAAATCCTACGGGGATAAATAAACAAACCGTCTCGCTTATGTGGGATCTTCTTTGGAATGAAGGCAGCAACCAGACTGGTTCCGTCTTATATAAGAAAAATAAACCAAATAACGCCTTCATTTACGAAGTTTTTGCATTCCATTTATTGTGAAACTAGGGCAAATAGTTCCATAATGTAAAATTTAAATGACTAATTCAGAAGCGGATGTTAATTTCGAAAATTTTACGGAATCCGCTTGAACCTTGAAACAATTCTGAATTTAAGCTGAAAGCGGCATCATTCCACCAATACGAGTTTTAAATTATTACAGTACAGTACTTAGAATACCGCAAAAGTTGTGTGCAAACGTTGAGCAATGTTTATTTGGTACGTTTGAGCTGCCCCACGGAAAAAAGAAATTTGATAGAATTCGATCATTGTTCAAGCAATTTTCATTGATGCGGATAAGTGCATTTGAGTAAAATAACCCTCGACTGCAAGATGTTCTGTTCTGTTCAGAAAGGTTTGGATCATCTTTTATGAGCACTCTGAAGTTCATCACATCACGAGGCAAACATTTTACAGTGCTTAGACTTCCGAGGAAGATTATAGGCATATAAAGTACTGTATTACCCAAAATTCAATTCGATTTCATCGACAGGATGGCAACTTATTTCAGGTCAATTTTATGTTTACGGAACGGCATGATGAGCATCTGCGAGACATTTTTCCGCCCCCCCCTCTTTTTTGTATCAAGTGGATTTGTGATTCTTTGACTTCCGAGAAATATAATAGGCATTTGTATTATCCAAAATTAATTTCGATTTCATATACAGACAAGATGGCAACTTTCGGATCATTTTTCTGGTTACAGAACGACATGATGAGCTTCTGCGAGTATTTTTTCTGCTCCCAATTTTGTATGAACTGGATTTTTGGATGTTTATGCTTCTGGGAAACGTAATGAACATTTGTATTGCTTGAAATTAATTTCGATTTCATCGAACGGATGGCAACTTTTAGATCTTTTTTCTGTTTACGGCGTGATAAGCTTCTGCAGGTACTTTTTCCGTTCCTATTATTGTTTTAGCTTGAAAAACCGAATACTGTAATCTATCCATCCTCATGTTAATGTGGTGTACTTCTCAAAAACATAGATTCCCTGCTGTTACACACTTTCGTTTACGTTGATCTCAGTTTTCTTTAATAGGTGATTTTTTGCGAAATTGATTGTTTCTGAAACTTATTGGCGCCTTGCTTGTCAATAATTGAACGAACATGTCAGTCGTCGGAATAATACGTGTGACGACTGAGGATTCCTGTGATTATTTTATTTATTTTTTGATGAAGAACCTACAGAACACATGAGGGAGAGAAATCCGTAAACAAATCTGTCGCCTGCAGTTATCGAGAAACCTAATCTCCATCAGAGTCGTCGTCCGCCTCATTCATCAAGTGAGAGACTGAATAATACATTCCTCAGGGATTCATCGCGGAAATTCATTCAGCGGATTAATGGTCCCGCAGCCTTTCTCCGAGAGCAGATGCAATTACGGGTACACAGCTGGAATTAACGAGGCTAATGAGCAGAAAAGGAAGCCAAAAAGGCATCCTCATCTTCTTTGTCTCCACGGCTCCGGGCCCTGAGTGGTGTAGAATTCATCTCCGACATCATCAGCGTCGCTTTTGGGACCGGCTCCTCCAGGGCTGCCAATGAAAGGCGTCCCAGCGGGAGTCGGAGATGGTTGGAAAATAGTAGGAGGCGGACTCCAGAGATAAGGCGCAGCTCCAGGTGTCGGGATGCGTTCGTAGGGCAGAGGTTCTTTCTTGCCCGGAGCAGAGGCTGCACCTACATTCCATTCAGCACACACACACACACACACACACAAACACGCATTATTAGAACACTTCCCGAGATCTATGATGCATTAATGATTTAAGGTTTGCTGATGCATCCGCTTCAGTCATTGTGATACGACCCCGAATTGCGCTTTCTGATTCATCGGCCCTGAAGCTCAATACTGTAAACTAATTTTATCGCGATCCTATTTTTTTTGGAAGAAGACTTCCCTAATTGTGGAGTCGTCTGCAGTACTGTATATGGACTGTACTGCATATGGAACAACTGGTTGAGAGCCTCCCAAAATTAACTTTATATAATCGTAACACAATAAAACTAATTAACTTTATATAATCGTAACACAGTAAAACTAATTAACTATATATAATCGTAACACAGTAAAACTACTTTTACTAATCATTTTTTTTTTGGAAGAAGACTTCCCTAATTGTGAAGTCTTCTGCAGTACTGTATATGGAGCACTGGTTGAGAGCCTCCCAAAATTAACTTTATATAATCGTAACACAGTAAAACTAATTAACTTTATATAATCGTAACACAGTAAAACTAATTTTACTAATCATCTTTTTTTTTGAAGAAGACTCCCCTAATTGTGGAGTCTTCCCTAATTGTGGAGAGACTCCTCTAATTGTGGAGTCTTCTTACAAAAAAAAGATGATTAGTAAAATTAGTTTCACTGTGTTACGATTATATAAAGTTAATTTTGGGAGGCTCTCAACCAGTACTCCACACATAGTACTGTACTACAAAGAAAATACTAGTTGAGCCTTGATGAGTCAAGCCTCCCTATACATTGAATTCTGATGAGTTGAATTTTTTATATTCCCCCTCTGAATTCCTTTAATAAAAATAATTATTAAAAGCCTCCCTATCTCATAGGCTTTTCCTCTCAAACCTCCATAAGTCAAATTTCCTGAGACCTTTTGGCTGTATTTTTTTGATACATGAAAGATAAAAGCAATACAGCAAAAAATGATGTGTTTTGAAAGAAAGTGACGGACTAATTGGAAAAAGGAAACCCTGCCTCCAAGTTCGTCTTGATGCTGTGAACTCATTTAAGAAGCAATTTAAGTTCTTTTATGCTTCCCACGACAAACATGTTAGTTTCCATAACTTGAAAGCTTAAAAAAAAACCCCTCAAGTCAAAACCTCCCTAAGTCAATATATTTTTTTTTTCGATTCCTTGAAAATCCACTGAAGAGAGGTTTGACTATAAGCATGACCAAAGCTTTACTTATACATCTTGGGAAATTTGAGTGGATTGTACCTGAAGGGAGAATGTATGTGGGGGAAAATGCCGATATTTTATTAGTTCAACGAAAAAAATATAGTCTCGATTAGGAAGCTTAAAGCAATACGCAGGATGTTTACGTAATTTTGAGGGTAGTTTCAATCCCCCCCCCCCTTTCATTGTTTAAATTCTGGTCGGAACCATTCGAATAGACAAGTTCGTCGCCATTGCAACACTCATCGCCGCTTTCAGCCATGTTCGACTTCTGACACTATTAACTTACAAAAATATCAGAAGTACTGTTCTACTGTATAAAATTTCTTTCGAATCCCAAGCTACTAAATGTATAATGCAAGCTACAAAAATTATTGCAAAATGGCAAATTGGCAGTTGCAGTGACCTTCACGGTACACTGGATTAGGAGACATTATTCGGGTGTCCAAGCTAAAAATAAATCTTCAGAAAAAAAAATCATTTTTGACCCCTGTTAATCATACATTCGATATGGTCTCGATGTTCTACCGGAGACGTTTTAGAAAGGAAAAAATAGCCGTTAGCTTAGAATGAATGCCTTGAGATGAACAGCAATTTATGAAAATTCTTCGGTCTTATGACTCAAGCTTCGGAATTATGCATAGTACAGCAAATAATTTCGAAATCAAGATGCACACACTTTCCAGCCCCAGAATAATTTGAGTCAATACAGATGCTCATTCAAATGTAAATAACCGCGGTTTATCATGGAATACATATCAAATACATTTGTACGACTGAGAACATGACTGAAATTAGTGAATCCATTGTTTTTTCAGGAAGAATGCATGCACAAACTCGTTTTTATTATTATTCAAACAGTAAAATTGTGCTGAGCGAAACCGTATTTACAAGTAAAATCCCGATAATCAAGCATAAATTACTTGGAATGAAGAGTCATTCCGAGTCAGACGATTTCAAAATTTTTGAACTTGAACACACCTGTTTCGCAGCAAGGTGGCAAACGCGGGTAATTTATTCGCCAATGATTGAATAGGATGAAATATAGAACCAGTTCTCCGAAAGCCTCTCCAACACGTTAAAAAATTTCTGATCATGCAGTAAATTACGTAACTATTGACTTTCGGGCCCATAACTGATGATTATCCTCACCTGAGGACGGTGCAGCACCTGAAGTGCCAGGAGGACCACCACTGGCGCCAGTTGGACCAGCTTGACGGCCTGGCTGAAACACCTCACCTCTGCTGTAAGGCACTGATCCTGCTTGGCCTCCATCTAGTCCTAAAAACGAACAAAAAATAAAAATAAATAAAACAACACCTTTTACTTGAAGTTGGATGATACATTTTCTGAGGTTGATCGGAAATGCCGGGATGAATCAGCCTTGTTCCCCAACCCGTGGTTCACGGACTGGTTTGCAAAAGTTTTTTTGCCAACCAGGAAAATTTTCAGTATAATGCAGTAAATATATAAAAAATTGCAAAGAAGACTGTTTTTTATATGTTAAATTTTAGAAACAATGACAGTTAAAAGTATCTGATGAAAATTAAAATTTGAATATTTTTCTATTAATACTTCGGACAAATTTTCATCTGCTGAATAAAAATCTTTAATCTTTTTTCTGAGAAACCTTCCTTCAAGCCCACCTTTCTAATTTCTTGCATCCAGCTACAGTTGCTCCATCATGGCTTAATTTATTTATTTTTTTGCAAAAAAGAGAGACTTTTAAATACCCATCCAGGCAAAACTATTTTGAGTCTGCGAAAATTTCATGAAACTTTTCTGGTCCACAGAAAATATTTTGGGAATTTGCCTATTGTCCACGAAAATTGTTTTACGGAAATTGGCTGGTCATTCGCAGCAGGTCCAAAAAGGTTCGGGATCAATGAATTAGAGGATATAGAACAAATTAGAACACAAACGAAGATAAAAAGGGATCCAACCTCCTTCACCGAGACCAGCTGCATCAACATCGACGCTAGCGTAGCCTTCGCAAGAAGCCCCGAAAGGCATCAGAGGTTTTCCAGCTTGCCACCTTTGGATCATGGTGACAATTGCCAAAGCAGCGAACATGACCATTAGCCAACAGGGCAATTCCACTATCATGAAGTAGGTTTCCTCGTCAAGCCCCATAGCGAAGGGTTCTTTTGCAGACTTCTCTTCCACGCACATTTCTCTTCAATATAAACCCCAAAAAAAAATTGACCAGTTTTTTTTTACATATATTGACTCAAGCACCCACCAAAACATGTATCGAACCTCAGAAATTGGGACACGCGTCATAATCCATGCACATTTTTCTTACTAAGTTTTTCTTCAAAATTCTTTTGCACATTCCATCTTGAATATACAGTGAGACCCCAATATGCGGACGTAATTGGTGTATCAAAAGTGTCCATAAGTCAAAATGTCCCTAAGTTTAGTCTTGTTTTCCCTTATTAGACTTACACAAATGAATGAATGAACAGAAAACTTTATTTGCCGCTTTTCAGCACACACACACACACACACACAAACACGCATTATTAGAACACTTCAGGTAAGTTTTTTATAATTTGCTAAATGGATGTTAATTTGTTGAGAGAAATGTCAAAGAACTTTTCTTACATCAATTTTAGGGTTGGAAATATCTGTTTCTTGTAATTTTGCCTGATATGAATTTGCAATTTTATCACAAAATGTCCCTATTCGAGTCAGTGTCCTCATGTTGGCCTTATTTATTGATTTTTCCTGGGAAAATAAGTGTCCCAATGTCGAATTGTTGGCAGGTTGAGGCGTCCGCATGTGGGGGTCTCACTACATATAAATTACAAAGGAGAAAACAATCAAATACTGCACGTGAATTTTCTCTTATGAATAAGGGAGTATGAATTTATAATTTCTGTTGTTTTAATTCTTGCCTGTCAACAATTTCCATTAAAAAGTTTGATGCACGTCAAATGCAAGAAAACGATTAAAAGAATTTTTCAAATCAAAAATTAAGGCGATATAGTATACGTACATGTGAGGATACTCAAGTACTTTATATGGTACAGTGTAGTATATTGGATCAGAACCAAATATATTCATAACATTATGTCATATTAAATCGTGCAAATCTGCGAAGAATAATTTTCGTAATTTAGTTAATAAGTCGAAACTCTGATTAATTGAAAAAAGGATTGCTTTATTTTAGTCCTGGAAATGTTTTGAGGAGATGTCTATCAAATCAAAAATATTGAAATTATTCCTGCACTCGCATAAGATTGGTGGACTTCCCTAAAAATAATTAAGGGTTTCCTTCAAGAAACAGGGCTACTAACGTGAGAAACGCTTCTTTCTGCAGATCCACTACGGATTTCAGGTGGTCCAGGTACGGAAAACGATTGTCTGCATATACCTGGCCCGGGGTACCGAAAACGACCCCCGGTGGACTCTGCCATGCTCCCTTGGGTACAACATTTATCCTGAACCCTCCACTGATACCCTCCGAATCAGGCCCATTCACATCAAACCCACCATCTGCCATGATGAAACTTTCTAAGTGGCCCAATAAAACTGGGTTTGCATGCAGAGAAGAATCTCGTTGAGAAAAACCTAGTCACAGTCCTAAGTCCATGGTTAAAGTTCGTCTAAACTGTTGAAGATTAACCTCCGAATTTTCAGAAACCCATAGATAGAGTACTATAAAGACGACTCAGTTTGAAAATGCTATTTTTTCTCATGACCAACTTAAACGTGACCTTCAGGAGGTCTTCTTAAATCTCCGTACCGAAGTCCTTATCTTCATCTGCTTCTGAATAAGGCATACCTGTGTTTCTTCAAGAAGCTAATATGCCTTTTATGGTACAAAACTTTGTGCATCAATGGCCACTCGATTTTGGCAAAAATGAACAAATATATCAGGATTACCAATCTATTCAAATTTCGTAAGCTCGCGTTTTTGAGACTTTTTCAGTGGTTCTCATCCTCGGCGATGATTTGAACGTTTAAAAATGGCACATTTCAGGAAGTTGAAAATATTTATTGCATTCACTAACTGACTTTGTACGTAGGGCAATAAGGAGAAAGACGAATAAACTCATCACCACGAGGAATTCGATTTCTTGGCACCTCACGCCAGGAAATGGGAAATGTTTGGCATTTTAAAGACAAATCGCTGTGATAATCCTTCAATGATCTCCACTGCTGGAAGTACTGATAAAACCGATCATGCATGGATGCGATGGAAGAGCTTCTCCAAAATAATCCACGATTATTTCCCCGTTTTTAAATTTTTCATCAGCCGTTTGTTTTCTTTCTTTTTTATCCATGCAGTTTTCCAGGCGCCAGGCGCCAATTCCTACTACACAGGATTACAGGAATAAGAACGTTTTATCTCACCTCTCCGAATAAATGCAGAACACTCGACAGGATATGCTTTGAATGTTGAAACGTCTTTGGACTTGGCGATACTTTCTCTGAAATCAAATTCAGAAGTTCGTTGGAAAACATTTCAATTTCTTTGGATCTAGCGGCGCGAGAATCTCCAGCAGACTTCTCTCGATACAAGGAAAAATCCAATGTCATCCTGTGAAATTTCAAAGCACAGCCCTGGAGATCTACAGAATTTATACAGAGTTTTTCATCGTAACAAAAACAGGACAATACTTTCAAATATCCAGACATAATTACCATGTTTGAAGATCTGTGAACATTTTTGGACTCAGTACAGCAACTTGATTCTTTGGTGATTTTACGAAAGTTTTGAAACCTTGCACCGAATTTTTGCATCAGTAAAAAGTATAAAAAAGACTACGGGAACAATGCCACTCTAAAGCAATTACTAACAACTAAAAATTGAAAAGATTAAAATATGACACTGTTTCTCAAAGAAAATTGTATTTTAAATGGAAACAATTTTGTTGCTTCGTCTGTGATTCTGCTTAGAAATTATTTTTGCTGAAAAAAGTTTATTCGGAAATAAAAACAATTTGCTTCCCTGGAAATCTAGAATAAAAATCCAATTTCTGAAAAATATCTCGATTTATCTTTAAAGTTTGTATATTGTATACTGTATACCAATTTTTCTTTGTCAATATGAGTTTATTTACTCATTTCGCACTTATTTCGCATTCAGGAAGGATGTCACCGGCTTTTACAAAGACGAATGTTTCAATGCATATGTAAAACGGGTTTTTGAAACATCAGAGCATGATTTGTTTCAATCAAATTTAAACGAATTGATATTCAAGTGAAAAAAATCCCGTCAAGATGCCGCGACATTTAAAAACTTTCAGTTTCAAGTTTTTTTCTTTTACAAGATCAAAAAGTGTGAAAAAAGACTTCTTGAAGCAGACCCATTGAATTTAGCCTCAAAATAATTTTATTGCCTGGGATAAGAATCCCTGGGATGAGCAAGCTGGACTTCATTTCAATTTAATTTCAATTTCATTTTAAAATTTTTAATACACTAATTCAGTTTGATTTGGAAACTCGCAATAACCTCTTGAGAGCAAATAATGATTTCCGATTTTCAACCATATACGCTCTATAAGTACTGCATGATGTAATTGGATTGTACAGTACAGTACTTGTGTACTGTATATAAATCGGAATTGCAGTAAAACTGATTTCTGACTTCTCGGGTGAGTAACTCGGTTTACTGAACACACTGCACATCTCGAGGATAAACACCGCGTCGGAAGGATTAAGCAACCAATGAAAACGGAACAGCGAACAAGGACACGAACAAGGAAAAGAAAACACAGAAAACTACATGATAAAAGCGACACCTGGTTCACTTGAGTAAGTTCAGGCAACTCATCCGTCTTCACTCGAAGACAGAGTAGAATCGTAGTCGTCGTTGGGCGGCAGCGGCGGCGGCGGCGGCGGCTGATAAGTGGCGGGAAATGGCGTCCCTGGCGGCGTTGGTGATGGATGAAAAATTGAAGTTGGCGGATCCCACAAATAGGGATCGTGACCCGGAGTTGAAATTCTTTCGTAGGGAATATCCTTCCGTTTTTCGGATTGTCGTGCTAGGGGTTTCAGTTGAGCTGGTCGTCCTTCAGTCTCGTCTTCCGCTATTTGAATAGCGATTTATAGTTTCCAAAATCAGAATATAATTTCTAAAATCTCGGTTTCATTGCAAGCATTCATCCCCAAAAATTAAAACAGTAAACAGTCTATAAAATAATCTGAAAGCGACACCTGTTTCACTTGCGTATAAGTTCAATAGAGCAAGTATGCTTCCCTTTACGAGAGTTACGCAGTACTGTATGTAGGTCAGCTCAGCTGACCCTCGGAAAAATAAATTCCATGGTGGATTAGAAATACACTATATTTTTAAATTATTCGAACAATTTCACGTTGTACTAATTCTAGTGACAATTTCATAGATGCGCTTGAAAATATGAGGCGTATAGATAACAGGTCAGAAAATTGCAAAGCCCTTAGCCAAATTGGCTGAAGTAAAGAAATACTGTATATACCGTGATGATTTTTTGTTGTTGAAGAAATGATGTTGGAAACTTTTCATTTTAAGGGAGACAAGTTCGAACAAAATTATGCATAATTCAAAAACTGGGGAAAGTATTTAAATATTCAAATACCAGTTTCTGAATTTGACCCAGAAGGTATGAAAATTGACTGCGGAGGAGACCAAACGTAGGGGTCTATCCCAGGGGTTTCTATTCTCTCGTAAGGCAGAGTTTTCAGCCCGGCGGCTTTCTTGACGATTTCAGAGATGTCGCCACTCGCAACCAAACCTCTACTCCTTAAGCTTGCGGGATCAGACTCAAATCCGTCTGCTGCGTCGCATTTCGAAGTATCCTCGTCTAAAAAAGAATGATTTTAGGCTTCAACAAGATTTAATCGGAATCCCCTCGATCGGCAGACTCAAAAAAAGGTATCGTAAATTGAAATCGTGTATACGATGCCAAAAAAAATAACGAACCGTAAACACCGCATTCCCCACCATCCCCTGCCGCACCAGCATTCCCAGGTTGGTACTCTCCGCAAGACCGTTGCAATTTCTTGACGTATCCGTAAACATTGCAAATTGCCACAGCAGTGACGATCAGCACAAAGGAGCTCGGGATTGCTTTCAGTGCTGTTCTACCCACGATGAAGGCAACTTGCGCAGAGGTCGCTAAATTACCAGCTTTCGTTGCGTGTTCAAGTTCACTGAAGTTCGGAATGGAAAATGTCATTCACAGCTCTTGGGGTGAACAACTTTTCTCGAAATTGAATGGCGAGTCAAGGCCAATTCACAGAGCAAGTACAAATACGGGAAAATTCGATAAAAATATTTTTTTTAAGCTTGAATAATCCGAGAGAAAAAATCAAATCGCCAGCGAACCTTGGCGTGAGAAAATGATGCGTAAAATTATCCTCAAGCTACATTCAAATGTCGGAATTAATTAAGATATGACGCGCAACTATTTTTCGTCAATTATCAAAAATGGGTGTGTATTCAAATTCTCGGATCTAGTTTTGTTCAAATGAAATTAATGATGAGTAGTGATTCTCAATCCCGTTTTTGAAAATGACTCTTCAGGACCAGCAACTGCTCTATACTAAATTGAAACCTGAGGTAAGCTTGAGACGAAGCCCCTGCGACGATCGGACTCGTATGCTCCCAGCTGCCGACGAAGTCGGTAAAATCCTTGTTTACGTTGTACATGTTTTACTAGATGTCGCTGTAGTTACAGTTGCGTCTTCATTTATGACACCTTCCTTCGACGTGACGCTTGGTCACTCGACCAGTGTCATGTGATAGTACTTTCGAGTTGATCACCCGGTTTCAAAAGATCTCCCAATTATATGACAATCTTTCGATTTTACCAGAAGTTTTTTAAAACGCGCTGACGCTGCACTTGCATGACATATATAAAACAACAGCTAAAGTTCACACAAAATGAGGGAAACAAAATGTAGTGCTGGAAATTTAGCGCTAACGAGGCATAACCGATTATTTAAGAAAAACTCGAGACTATCATAATTGGGGTAAATAACAGGAATAACCTAAAGGCTAAACCTTCAAAAAGCCTCAGGTGCCCTGGAAAATTAAGGCAAAATATTAGTTAATGTCATTCATCCAGAAGCTTTAAAATCATAGTTAAAGGAACCTTCCATGTTTCTTCAATCACTTCGTCAACGGCATTTACTGATTCAATCTCACTTTTGAGCATTGACTTTTTCAATCTCGTTGAAATTTCGTTGAAATACTATGAGATTGTCATTGATTTTTTTTTATTTGATCCTCAGCGCGTTCCAAACTCGTAAACTTTTTTACTTTTAACCATTTAAATAGAAGACAATATTTTTCTGAAATTTATATTTCAGATAATGCAATTTATCGAAATTCTAGTTTTCGATTTTCAAAAAAGTTTATTATCGGAAAGAGAGTTATTTTTGTTCAAAATTTGAAACGCACGTACGCTGGAGTTGCAAGCTCATGAAGTTTGCATGGATGCTTTTATTCCCCAAAAAATTACATTATTGCATCCTTCATTTCCTTTATTGATACAAACAGCTCTCTAGATCAGCAGCTTATTGGAAGAAGTTGCCAGACAAAAAGTTTCCATTCAAATGGTTCTTGTGGCCATTTTGTGGCACTTGGGACCATACAATTTTATACCATTGAAAGAGCATTGAACAAGCTTTCATTTGGTGTTTTTTCATTGCCATAGCTGAATTTTCTTCTGAGCTATTTGAAGCCAAAAATTGGCTACATAATATGACGAAGCGACATCTACACAAAAGAGTGACAATTTCAGCTGCTTTGCGGCCCATCGGTTTATAAGCCGAATGTTTGGAAGATTTAGAACAAGTTTCAATGTTTCGAACTCAACTCTGCTAATCCTCACTCGAACTGAACGGAACACATTTTGCGGCATTTACAAGACATTTAAGCAATTGATATTTTAGCCACCTAGCGGAAGAATGGACAAAAAGGAAGCGCTCTCTTCTATTTTTATATACAGATGTCACTAAACGTTCGTCAACTCCCGTGAAAAATACTGCAACCTACGAATCGTATGTGGATCTTCGCTCAATTGCATCTCCTCATATACGTATGCTAAAATGGGCCCCGTGCAAATGTTTTTTTTTTTCGTAAAGTAATCTACAATTTATGTGACCTCATAGTGGAAATCTCTTGAATTTAAATTTAAAATGTACTTCTTCGTGATGGTACACAGTTCTTTCCAACTTGTATCCGAAGTTTGCGGTGGATTTGAACAGAATGCCGCGAATTTGCAAGGGTCAGTTGGTGCTTTTGTTGCTCAGCAGTGCTTGCTGTCAAAAACTCGATCACAAATTGTGACCCACGTTTGCGGAATGCCTCCAAAACTTGCGTTTTATATCCCATTGCGACCCCGGCATGGTAATAACTTACCCAAACCAAAGCAAAAGCGGGTTTTCCGGTTGCCTGGTCCAGAGACATATTCGCTTGAAAACTTTCCACTCGATTTTCACGCCGAACTTCTCCCTGGGGGGTTCATATTTATGTACATTTTTATTTCCTTTTCTCTCTTTCTTCTTGCTGGGTGGTATATTTTGTGCTTGCAAAGCGGGAAGTTTCCCCAGTCTCTGACAATGACTCAAACAGCAAAGCAGACGGGAATTTCTGCGGAACCCGTGATGGTTCTGAAGCGAACCACTTGGTGCCCAACCGGCCGGAAATCACGGGCCCCCGTAGCATTTTCCCATCAACTTCTGCGCTGATTATCTCCCTACAAACGTTTATTTTCTGCAACGGATGTGATCAAGGCGGAAAAAGCCTTCCTGTCATCCTGTATATAGCTCTCTAGAACTTGACCAAAAAAATAGTAATACGAGAGATGAAAAAAAAGAGAGAGGAGAGATTGATACCCTACCTCGCTGGGATGAATCTTTCATCAGATTTTTCATCAGTCTAGTACTACGGGATTGTTCATTAATCTCTGCAGTTCAACGTGCCGTAAAAATGATGTCATCCTCAGAAGCCCACGCCTGATTTCTCTGATCGATTTGAGGACTGATGGAATCGTCGATGCGAGGAAAGGTCTTGCTTTTCGTCCTTTAGCGAAATCTCTGATGAGATGAACGATAGATTACGAACAATTCCACGAGGAGAAAACAATGTGGAACATTCCAGCTAGCAGTGCATATTTTGCTGATTCGCGATCATATTCATCTGATGCTGTGTTTCTCCGAAAATAGCACATCTCTTGAACGATTATTCAACCGAAAAAAGGTCAGGGATTATCATGGAGTAAGGGTTTATCCTTCCACATTGAAAGAACAATCAAAGATCAGAAAATTTGATTGGAATATGCTTCGAAATTTTAAAGGTGGCTATAATTGTCGATTTTATGAGTATTCTTGCTCCAATAAATTGAGAGAGTTTACGGTGATAAAATCAAACCTGTGACGGATATCCCTGATCATGATTTTATGGTGGAAGAATTTATTCGTGCATAGGTTATTTACGCGTTGGGAAAACTATAAAAAATGTCCCCGTGTAATGTATTTGATGACGGCATCGCCTCTGAAAATCGGAAATTAAAATAATATTTTTTATAGAACAGAACAAAGCCTGTGATCTTCTGGTTCGCAGCAGCTCATCTTTGCACGAACAAAATTGTAATTTTTACTCCAAATGGATACATTCTTTTTATATCGAGTACATTGAAAAACTGCTCGTATTCCTTGAATATTTTATGCTAATAGGGTCCGTTTTTTCGCTTGGTCTCCAACGGAAACTTGAAATTACTTCTCTGTTCAGGTAAATTTAGGCTTCATCAAGCAAACCGTATATTTCTATTCAACAAACTTCCTCCAAAGTTCGCACGCAAACAACTTGAATTATTATCATGACTTGAACGAAGAACTATTCTAAATTAAGGTATATCTTTAAACATTAATCAAGTTAGCGTGATAAACCCAGGGGGCGAAATCATAACTTTTAATTCATATAAGAACCGCACGAACCCCTCTTTTCAGGGTAAAAATCTGGGATGTGCAGATTTCGAAAATTTCTCCGTATGAAAAACAAATAATATTACCGAAGCAGCGATTTTTGAATACCGTAATTAAATAAACATTTTTTACTTTGGTACCATGCATCTTAATTTTTTGCTGAGAAATTTGCACAAAAACCTATCCCCACATAAAACCCACATCACCTCAGGTTTTTTTTGTTTGTTTCTGTAAAGAAGGTGCACGTTGCATACTTGAGTAAATATGGCAAGTGGTACCTTAGAATTTGACCTCCTGCAATTTGACTGTCCCAAAATTCAATGGTCAAAACTTCAGGGAGGTTGACTTGTAATTTGATCCTTGCCCCACCATTTGACCTGCTTTGGCCATTTTTTCGCATTTTTGCATTGATGTTTTTGAATTTCACAAAGTGTCTTGCAATTTGACTACTTGGCAATTCAAATCTAGTTTGGCAATGGATTAGGGTCAAATTGTTAGGTTCCACCTTTATACAGGTGTGATTATCTCAAAAATGATTTTCTTTGTATAAAATTATACAGTATTGTCAATCCCAAAAAGTTCTCTCCCTATGTTTTAGGCAGGCCTATGCAGAGAAATTTTCTTTACAGCAAATTTTTCCAGTCCCATCAAATTTTGTTGTAGATTGTCCACATGTATACATTTTAGAAAAAAGCGGAAATTAGAAAAGGGGAGTGGAAGAAGACCAGGATACTCTGGATGATAATGATCAGAAAAGAATTCGATGTAAATCGTTTGAAGAAATAAAAAATCGTTAATCATCGCGGGATATATTGTAAAAGCGATTAGCATCAACATCGGATCCTATAGTCCCTCGAGAGAAGGACTGCCAAATGGTATGGGAGGGCGAAAAAAAAAAAATTGGGGAGGCAGAAGGGGGCAGCAAACGACCAGTTCTTCTCAACACACGTGACCTGATGTCAACTGCCTTTGAGGACATGGGCGGACACACACACACACACACACACACACACATACATGAGAGGGCAGTAATCCGAGTCAGGGACCCAGAAAGATTTGTTGATTTCCCCGGGATCTCCCCGCCAGAAGCGGCTTTTTGCCGTGTTTCCAGCTCGCTGGTCACCGCGCCTCTGCTGCTGGTGACAGGCACCAGCACAAATCACTGCTCAGCGAGAGGCTCAGCTTAACTCGGTTAGAGCCGCCCTTTTATCCCAGCAGTGAGTTTTCCTCCCCGTCCATTGCTAGACAATTCTGCGCAAAGTTTTTCGGCGACCGGCGACGATATCTTTTTTTTTTTCTTTTCCCCCCCTGTACGAGATGTTGATGGGGGGAGAACCAGAAAATCTGGCTCGACTCGGAATAACATGGAGCTCTTGGCTGTATCTTGAGTGCAGCAGGGATATACGTATATATATGTGAGAGTATCATCTGCCCTAGTTAACACAGGATGAATTAATCTTCGTTTTCCCGCTCTCGTCTCTGGGCTGGTCCCGGAATGTTCATGATTCATTTTCTGTTCTGCGGCAGATTTTCCGTTTGGTCAAGTGCGATGCTTATTTTGCTATGTATGTACAGTACAGTAATCTTGCTTGGCTGAAACTGAGCAGAGAAAATCGAGGATTTTTCGTGATATCATCAGGAAAGTGTTTCAGAGAAGTCCAATGATAATTTTTTCCCGCAATGAATTTCTCCTTCTTTTCGTCATTTTCCTTAATCGAACAATTTTGTATATATGTAGACTAAAATTGTAAATGCAGTAGTAAAATAGTATTGGGGCACAGCATTTTCATGATTCATTTCCTGTTCTGCTGCTGCAGATGTTCCGTTCGGTCAAGTGCGATGTTTTTGCTATGTATACACGGTAATGTTGCTTGGCTGAAACTGAGCAGAGAAAATCGTTGATTTTCCGTGATATCATCAGGAAAGTGATTCAGAGAATTCCAATGATAATTTTTTCCCCTCATTGAAAGTCTCCATGTTTCCGTTTGAACAATTTTGCAGTGACTAAAAAATTAACTAGTAATATAGTATCGGGTGCCTGAATTTTCATGATTCATTTTCTGTTCTGCTGCAGATGTTCCGTTCGGTCGAGTGCAATGTTTTCGCTGTATCTGTATGAGTATACCGGTACTCTTGGCTGAAACTGAGCAGAGAACATCTGTTTTTTTTCTAGACAAAAAAAAACGGATTCAGAAAATTCCGGGAATAA